AGTATATACAGTATTCCAGAAATAATCTTAAAACAACTGCAAGGATGATGTCGGTCGGAAAATGACCTGTAATTGAGCACCACCTAGTGACCAAAAGCAGGAACGAAAGAATCAGCTTTGGGAAGTCTGCTTAGAAGCCCCTTCTAAGGATTTCTGTTTGAAACACAGGATGCAACCTTATTAAACCTTTTAAAAGGTAGCACCTTATACCGTAAGTTGGAGATGAATTGCCACACGTAAGGACAGGGGAAGCAAACAGCTACCTTTCAGTGCTGCAACCTAATAGAAGTAAAAGCTTCCTTTGGGTTCAACCTGGTGCTCTTTCCCTAAAATAACTACTGCATACCGCATACGCTTAGAAATATAGCACGATATCCAATTTTAGAGTAGGGACTACATTTTACCATTACCATTTATAGCATGATCACATACAAGGCATAAGAATCACATTGCAACTGTGGGAGTACTGTGAAACAGCACTATTGTTTCAGTTTTTTCTAAGTACCTGTCAAAAAGTACCTGTCAAAAACCATAATATGTGACTATGGGAGAAACTGTTGCAACGGTTTCACTGGATATTAGTACAATTCAAAGTGCTGGTAATGAATTATTAATTCCAGTAAATCTAGGACCAGGCTACTTGACATATTTATTTATTATACATACTGACACATCACCCAATCACAAAGACTCATGGTGGTTTACAGAGAATAAAAATAAGACACACAATGGCCATTGGAAAACCCAACCTCCCTGCAACCATTCATAAAATTGAAGCACGTAACAAAAAGACTGTGACCTGAATAAAATCAATCAAAAAACAAGTGGTTACAACAACAACTAGTTCATCCCACATAAATGGGCTTCTTTGTATGAAGCCTTCCTGAAGGTTTGTTTGCCTCCTAGGCTCTGACAATCACTCATCAAGCAAGATTAGCTCAATTTCTATTATTTCCCACAACTGTTGAGATAACAAAAAACACGGTCATTCAGTAGACTGTTGGAATGTATTACATATAATTTAAGTATGTTAATTAGGTAGATCTGTGCCTGGCTTGAAAACCACAATAAACAAAAACCAGAGAGAAAAATCAAGTGAGAAGTTACAATGGTTCACTCCTAGGCCTATTACTGTTCAATGTTTTCATTAAAGATTTGGATCAAAGGATGTAAAGAATGCTGCTTACACATGCAGATCACACAATACTGAGAGGGATAGCTAATACCTTAGATGACAGAAATAACATTTAGGTTTGTTTTAGAGGTCAGAGAAATGAGACAAAAATAACAGATGAAACTTCAAAGTTTTTTACTTAAAAAAAAAAAATCTAAGGCCCAGTTATAAGATGGGGAATACCAGGTTTGGTAAGAGTATGCGTGAATGGAAGTAGATGATGATAAGCTGAAGACGAATTAGCAGTGAGCCATGACTGTAAAGAAGGGAAGTGAAACTTCAGGCTGCATCAATAACATGGAACCCATATAGTAACGGTTCCATTGTATTTTGCGCTAGCCAAACCTCTCCTTCAGCTCTATGCACCACACCTTAAGATAGATTCAGAGAAATTGGAACAGGTAGAAAGAAAGGCAAAAAGGACGATCAGGGCCTGGACACTAAGTCTCACAAGAAGAGAATGGCCAAGGTTTTAATGCGATGGTCCCTTCCAACTTTTTGATTTTATATTTATATTTTATATTTATATATATGAAACACATGCCTGTTTCATGAGTAGTAGAGCACAGACTGATTAAATTGCTGTTAAATTAATCCCCTTTCTTTCCAATCACTCTATGGAAAACTAGTTGGCTGCCAAGCACCCTTCTTGATTGGGAGTTTGAACCACCAATATGCAGATGTGGAAAAAAACCCTATTCTCTTGATCCAATTTTTATTTTGATAAACTGTCCATGTACCAAAGGGATGCATCCAAATGAGAACCAAAGAACTTGAACAATTCCTTGGTCTGTGTCTGGAGGGAATTTAATTTGCCTTTCAGGTTTGGATTGCTGTAAGGCATGGCTCCAGATTTGGTTAAGGTTTTCTGTATTAACAGCAATTTTAGGCCTGCAGCAAATTTGGACACTGAAAAGTCTAATTATGTCATGGCTTAGTGTGTTGTGCAAACATCCATTTTTATTCAGGCAGCTTTTTGGTCTTTAAAGCTGACTTCTGCTGAAGTATTTAAATATTTAGATATGTGCATACCAAAAAATATAACTTGGTTAGTAACATCTAATATAAATAAAATATGTAAAGAGGTTTCTTTTGATATGGAGAGATGGGAGTCATTAAACCTCACCCTTTGGGGAAAGTTGAACGCTCTCAAAATGAATATTATTCCAGATTAATTTATATTCCAGATTAATTTATATTCTAAATTATATTCTAATTTATATCCTGTTCAAATAACTGGAAAATATTTTCAAAAAATTAATTCTTTGTTTAGAAAATTTCGATGGGGTTCTTCAATTCCGAGAAAGCTTTACAGAAAATGCAATAATCAATTAATGAGGGAGGATTCAGTCTTCTGAATCTGGAGCTATATCATCATGCTTACCTGTTGTCAAATATTAAATAATGGAAGCCAACAAGTAGTGTTAATTTTCTGATTTGGGTAACTTTGAAATATACATATATAACACCTTTTGTCAGATGGACAGTATTAGGATCTAAATATACAAAAACTAATATCTCTGGAAACAATTTTATCAATTAGAAAGCTATGGAATGTCTAATGAAAAAAGATTTGACCTTTTTTCCCATGTCAAATTGACTTTATGGGGAAACCCAACTTTAAAAATTGGGGAAAAGATGGTGATATGGAAAAATTGGATGAAAGCAGGGATATTGACTTTGGACTAACTGCTAGATGATGAAGATGAATTTTTAATGTACTCTGTCTTAAGAGATAAATATCATCTATTAGATGTAACCTAATGGCAGTATTTACAGCTACAACATTTGTTAACAACATTGTTTGGACAAGCAGCACTTTCAGCTTCTGAGACACCTGAGACATTAGAACAACTTGTTAAATCCTTTAAAATTAAAAAACCGATTAGTTTTTATAGATATTTGTTATCAATAAATT